AGGTGGGGCTTCCATTGCAGAATACATGTATAGTAATGCCACCTCAACTTCCAACAAGGTTGTCAGGTAAAATCCTGCCACAGGACCTGGGGCCGCCCTCCATGAGTAAACTGGCAGAAAGTGCAAGCCCTTTAAATGTCTTCTAATTATCCAACTGAAAATCTTCAATTGGACCAAGAGCAGGAAGTTGCTTGATATCTTCTCCACAACTGGTAAACCATCGATGGAAGTGGTTAAGCAGCAGGCACTGTATCCCTGATATGCCACATGGTTTTATGACCCACATGACCCAGTCTGATCCCAGTGAGGGAGGGGGTGTTGGCGTAAAATTCTACAGCTTATGCTGGTATTTGAAGAATAGGACCTGATGGTCTTCATGTTTTCCTGTGTATTCTAGGTTTGGAACTGTGTGGTCTTCAAAAAGTGTGCAGCTTGAGTCCACTGTCTACTTATGCAACAACTCTTTATACAGCGAGGTCTGTACATACATTCTCTTCACACGAGGTTACAGCATCTGCTCCCTTCCCGATCTCTCCACCATCTGATGTGACCCTGACATCATTATACATCACCACATATGCTTTTGGTGCTAACACCATTACTCTATAATAGCTGGCATATATTCTTCAACAAACACAACCAATTAACTAGACACTTATAAAATTCGTTGTTTGTAAACTAGCCACTTTACCTGTCTGAGTAATAACAGTAAACACAGTTCAAAAAGAATGAATTGGATATGACGCTCGGATGACAAATTGAATATAAAATGCTGTCTTCTTAACAAGCCGGATAATTGTTATTTTTTCTATTGCAGTTATAACAGTTCATGGCTATCACAGTTGGACATTGTCATTAATTTATCAATAATGATCTCTTGGAGGTATTACAAAAACCTGACAATAGGCTTGTGCAGGCTAGGTGGATTAGCCATGGTAAATGTAGGGTTACAGGGATCAGGTAGGGGGCTGGGTCTGAATGGGATGCTCTTTGGAGGGTTGGTGCACACTAACTGGGCCAAATGGCCTCTTTATGCATTATGGGGATTCAATGATTATTATTACTGAATAATAATTACGAAGTAGCCATGTCAAATTTTCTTGGATAATATAAATTCTGCCACATTAGTCAGATATTATTTCCAATATAAAACCAGAAATTGCTGGTGAAACTCAGCAGGTCTGGCAGCATTTGCAGGAAGAAAGCAGGGTTAATGCTTCAAGTTCGGTGACTCTTCATCGAGTTATTGGACTCGAGATGTTAACTCTGCTTTCTTTCCACAGATACTGCCAGACCTGTTGAGTATTCCCAGCAATTTTTGGTTTTGTTTCAGATCTCCAGCATTCGCAGTTCTTTGTTTTATATTACTCCAATACACTAAGTTGAGGGCGTGACATTTTATCAAGAATTAGTGTTTGTCACATTGTGTCAATTTTAACTACTTTATTGCAATAGCAATGTAACGAACAAAATTTGATGAGGAAAATTAGCACAGGAAATTCGTAACAAATGGAAATATGTAGTGCAGGAACAAAAACAGAAGTTGTTGGAAAAGCTCAGCAGGCCTAACAGCATCTATGAAGAAAAAAATCAGAGTTAACGTTTTGGGTCCGATGACTCTTCGTTAGAACTGATGGTAGCTAGGAAAGCATTGGTTTATATGCAGAAGATAGGGAGGGGGATGGGTAGGGAGTAAACAATAGGATAAAGGATAGAGCCCAAAGAGAGAGAAGAGCAGTTGGACAGGCAAAGGAGTTGATAATGATCTGGCTAGGAGAGTGAATAGCTGTTAATGGGAACTGTTAGTGACTAACAATAGGTACTGTGTAATGGCAGGCTATGTGATAACACGGCCTGGTGTGTGGGGGAGGGGGCTAGTACATGGGAGAGTTTAGGCCCTAAAATTATTGAACTCGATATTGAGTTTGAAGGGCTGCAGGGTCCCCAAGAGGAAAATGAGGTGTTGTTCTTCCAGCTTGCGTTGAGCTTCTCTGGAACACTGCAGCAAGCTGGAGACAGAGATGGTGGCCAGGGAACAGGGTGGTGTGTTAAAGTGGCAGGCGACAGGTAGCTTAGGGTCTTTTTTGCAAGCAGAATGTAGATGTTCTGTGAAACAGTCAGCTAGTTCACGCTTTGTTTCCCCAATGTGGAGGAGACCACATTGTGAGCAGCTAATGTGGTAGACTAGATTGTGTGAAGTGCAGGTGAAGTGTTGCTTCACCTGGAAGGTATGTTTGAGCCCTTGGATAATGGGGAGGGAGGAGGTAAATGGGCAGGTGTTACACCTTTGCCAGTAGCAGGGAGGGGAGGGGAACAGGTGTCTGGTGGTGGCATCTCGCTGGAGATGGCAGAAATGGTGTTTGATGATCTTCTGGATGTTGATGCTGGTGAGATGGTAGGTAAGGACCAGGGAAACCCTATCGCTGTTGTGGGAGGGAAGTGAAGGGGTGAGGCAGAAGTGCGGGAGATAGTTCGGACCCGGTTGAGGTCCCTGTCAACAACTGTGCTGGGGAATCTTCAGTTGAGGAAGAAGGTGGACATTTTGGAGGATCCCTTGTCGAAGTTGGCTTCATCTGAACATATGCAATGGAGAAGGAGGAACTGAAAGAATAGGATGGAGTCGTTACAGCAAATAGGGTGCAAGGATGTATACTCCAAGTAGCTGTGGTAGTCACTGGGTTTATAGTGGATATTAGTGGCCAGCCTTTCTCCAGAAATGGAAACAGAAATGTCGAGGAAGGGAAGGGAGGAGTCAGAGATACACCAGGTGAGAGTGAGGGCAGGTTGGAAATTGGAAGTGAAATCGATGAATATTTCCAATTCTGGACAAGAGAGGGAAGACACTACCTATTGTTACTCACTAACAGCTGTCCAGTCCCCATTAACAGCTGTTTACCCTCCTAGCCAGTTCGTTATCAACTCCTTTGTCTATCCAACCGCTGTTCTTTCACTTTGGGCTCTATCCTTTATTCTATCATTTACTCTCTACCCCATTCCCCTTCTGCATATAAACCAACACTTTCCTAGCTACCATCAGTTCTGAGGAAGGATCCATGGACCTGAAAAGTTAACTCTGATTTTTTCTTCACAAATGCTGCTAGATCTGCTGAATTTTTCCAGCAACTTCTGTTTTTGTTCCTGATTTACAGCATCCACAGTTCTTTTGGTTTTTAATATGTAGTGTAGGCTCAGAATTTGGATTATTAATATCTAGCCCTGAATTTTAAGGGCCTACTTAATGAAATTTAAATCCAAAAATTTGTGCTGGAAACAGGATGGTATCAGTATTTAGACAATTGACTGGGTTCGTGCCTAAAGTGATATGTGGTTGAAATAATACATTGCAGATTGTAAAAGACATGGATAAGGATTTAGCTGTGGTATCCAGATTAGTGAAGAATAAGCAATACTGAAATAAAATATTAGCCTGGAATTACATCACAACGGTGGAAGAAAGAGTAAAAACATTAGTGAGTAGCATCAGAATTGCAATAGTGTTAGGCCAAATAGAATCTGAGAAGAGAAGCTAAGAGCTATGCTGAAACAGGAGCAAGAAGCATATTGTGTGTTTATGCAGTAAAATATCTAATGCAGGTGAGGAGGATGGTGGGGAAAATGAAAGTGGTTTGGAAAAGGTTCGAGACGTCCGCCCTCTGACATCAAAATTGATAAACTGGGTTTTGGCTACACTAAAGACATGTCTAATGCAGCAGGACAAATAAAAAGAATTGCTCTTAAAATTCATGAATGTCGCTGCATTATGAGAAAATAAACACATAAAAGACACTTGTCAAATTGGAATGTGTGGAATGATAAAAATGAGAAGCAGGGCTGGGAAATCAATAGATAGTAGGAACTGCAGATGCTGGAAAATCCGAGACAACAAGGTGAGACAGGAAGGCTTCCTGCTCCTATGATGCTGCTTGGCCTGCTGTGTTCATCCAGCTCTGCACCTTGTTGTCTGGGAAATCAATACTTGGGCTGTCGAAGAGAAATTGGAGATGACAAAAATGCCTCACACTAGGAGATGAAGTTCTAAATGGCTAGATACTATTAGAAATAATAGCATCCACTACATTTATTGAAAGGATGCAGGAATTTGATTATGGTTGCAGTAAAGCTATGGCACTATCATTAAGAGGTAAGATAGTAGAACTTACAGCATTACTGAGTCTGAATGAGGAAAATATGTCTTTTTAAAAGAGTGATAAAAGAGCGATAAGGTTCGGAAAACAAGACCTCGGCTTCAATGGAGATAGTCATGCTATCTGACCACGTGAGCCAAGAAAATTTGGAATAGTGAGGATCAAGGCTGTGGAGCGCCATTGAAAAGGCAAGAAATATGAGAATTGTTCTTGGAAGTTTTGAATAGGACAGGATTGGAGAATGGAGTGAATGCCAGAGGTCTGACTAGTTTGTAGAAATTGTAGAAGGTATTCAGAAATTAAAACAAGAACCATTTTTTAAATTTCAATTACATGAGGAGGAAAATAGGACTGAGCAGGTGTTGAAGTGATGAACTTATAAGAATTCCTTGGCACAGGGTGATGCAAGAGACTGCCCATTCAAACCTACGGCCACAAAAAGATAATTGACAAGAAGCAGCTACCACAATCCAATTTACTAGACTATGACTTAAAAAAAAGCCCAATGATTGTAAAGTAAATTATAATTCTAGACTCCGCTTAAGACTATTCTGGACCCTACACGTTCTTCAGATGATCCTTCTCACTTAATTTTGAGAATACAGACCCTTCTGACACTTGGACAGTCTGAAGAACTTATTTAACTCTCTCAGAAGGAACCAGCTGAGAATATGAACGTTCTCCAGGCTTTTTAACAAGTTTTAGCCAGATTATAAAAAATTGAATATAAGCATCCAGACAACTCTACAGAATACTGTAACTCTCCAGTGAAACATATATGAAGGTGTGCTCTTGAATTTGGATACAGAAGACTATATGACACAATACATTTTCGAAATGATACAGATGTTTATTGAAGAACTGAACATGCATTTCACATTTAATGGAAAGTTAATCACATTATTGGTATTTCTAGGAAAAAAAAAGTATAATTTTGTTTCTAACAGAGAAACAAAGTTTACTAAATGTTACAGTTATTAATGAAATCCATCAACATTTTAAGCAGCATTTACATGAATAGAAACCTACAGAGTTTAGTGAGATAGTTCTATCCCAATGAAGGGGAGATGTATTATTACTACATTACAGCAGCAAGACCTTTACCATGAGAAGTGCTGGTTTGAATCTCTTATCTGAAAATCACCTGAGTGACTCTCTTCATACCACTATAAGAGTGAAGCAGCAGGAAGCTCATGAGCACACGTGCCAGTCATCATGGCTTGTGCTAACCCATCACGCTTTCCAAAATCAAGTTCCTGATTTTCAGAAAACTGCTTTATGTTAGGATGTGAACACAATAAGCACTGGATTATTGTGTATTTTCTTTTGCATAGGTACAGGATGTTCTACTGGAGGAGCACCAAGTTTGCCCAGACACGTTTTTTGCCAAACCAGATGAAGCCAGCTTTTATTTTTTTCATCCCTAAATCATAGGAGAACCTATGATTACAACTGGATTCCCTTATGATTATTAATATAGGTAAATAGAGAATTTAACATAACAACGTAATTTTAAAAATCACACAAAAGGAGTCATACAGCACAGAAACAGACCCTTCAGTCCAACATGATTATGCTAACCAATGGGATATTAAATTGTGAGTAACGAGGTTTTCAAATATAAAATAATTAATGTATAGATTACTCCAAAGCTTGGTTTATGCACACTCCAATGGAGTCTCTGGATTTTCATCAAATCTCCTTCAGTTCATTTGTAGCTCTGTACTTAAAGTAATTTGTCTGTTAGAATCTTCAATTTCTCAATATCCTGTTTCGATGGTGTCATTTTGTCAGCATCTATCAGTAGGAAACAACCATCAAAGCCATTAATTATGATACATTCAAAGAAAGAACTGATTTTACACTCACAAAACAACAACTTTCCACCATGTGGTATGGACTACTGATAAAAGGAAGCTGGTTAAATAGATGGAAACACAAGGCCAGCAGGAGTGAGGCTTATTAGTATTAAAATAATAAATACCGTTTGCAAACAACAGTGATCAGAGCACCCTGTCTAGAAGTGGTGTGCAGGCAAGATTTTTTAAAAAGCTAGATGCATGATGCAAACACATTGTCTAAGTCATTCCTAATTCCAGTGGTGTAGAATATGTCATTTTTAAAAGCTAAGATAGAAGTTCTTTCTTCCCTTAATTCATAGCCCATTGTGTGTCAGCTCTTTAAAACAGCTATTCAATTACTGAATTCCTCCTGCTTTCTGTCTGCAAATTTTCCCCTTCAATAGCCTTGCTGACTTCCCTTCTAAATTTGTTAATAATCACTACTGAATTATTCCACTACCCTTTCTGGCAGTGCATTCCAGAACACATTGCGTAACCCCATCAACTCACCTTGTTTTTTTTGCCAGATATCTTAAATTTGAGTCCTTGGGCCACTGGAAAATATTTTTATTTATTTGCTCTATCAAAATGCTAATCATTTTGGCTCTATTAAATGTCCCCTTAACCTTCTTTACTCTTAAGGAGAGAAACTTCAGTTTATCAGTCTCTCCAGTAACTGAAGTTCCATATCCCTAGTACCATTCAAGTTAATTCCCTTTATCCTCAATACCGAAGCCTGCATAACATTCTTAAAAGTGTCATATGCAGAACTGAACCCAATAATTCATCTAATAGCTAACCAATGATTTAATAAAGTCTTCGTATAACTTCATTGCTATTGTATTCTATGCCTCTGATTATAAAGTCAAAGTTCCCACTTGTTTTTGCTCACAGGTTTATCAACTTCTGCCATCAAATGTTTCTGTAGGCATAACATAGGTCTTGCTGCTGTACTCATTTTAAGGTTAGATCATTTAGCTTTTGTAGTGTCTGCTCATTCTTTTTATAAACAGAAGCAGGAACCACAAGAAAAAGGTCTGACCTTTGAGTTTCTGAACTTCCCTTAAAATGTCTTCATACACTTGCACAAACAGCTCCTCTGGGGGTTTTGTTCCATCCAAGTAGACTGAGGCAAAAACATACACTTGCATCATTTGATGCTCTGTGTCATTTTCTGCAGTCCAAATTTGTAATTTTTATTTACAGCATTCTCTCATAAACATGAGTTAAAAATGTAAAAAATACTACAAGTAACAAAAACCTTGAAAAATGGGTGATGCCAAAATGTGAAATTAGCAGCTGGGTATTATAAATATCACAAATATATCACAAATTACTTCTTGAATAATTAAAAAGACATCAATGGCTTTCACACACGAAAACATTTTAAAGTCCCAGATTTGCAATGAGTCCGGCTGATTAAGGAGGCATATGAAAATGATGGGTAGGTTCCAATTCTGGGAGCTTCATTCCTATACTGGCAAGTTTTACTGGTGTGGGATACAGGTGTGAGCAGCCAGCCCATCTGCAGCTAAACTGCCTTTGCCTGCTCCATTGTGGGACACACAGTTCAGACTCTTCTACAATGTTGGTGTAAGTGGGCCCCTTCTTTAAGCAGAAGAGGTTCATAATCTCTGAGGAATTGTTCAGTCACCAATGAAAAAAAAACGCATGCAACATTTTGAGATAACAAGTTGTACAGCTCTACACCTTGTTCTCTCATGCAACATTTTACTTCTTTTCTCATAAGATGCCAATCAATCACATTATCAATGTCAGAAGCTTCTCTCCACTTTACACCTTTTCATCTCCCGTGCATTTTAATCAGTTAAATTTTCTTTGTGGTTTGTGTGTTTATTTACGCAAGATCCATGCATTTTAATCAGTTAAATTTTCTTTGTGGTTTGTGTGTTTATTTACACAAGATTAACAAGTGCAAAGTGGAGAAAAACTTCTAACATTAAGACTATGAGATAGCAAGAACTGCAGATGCTGGAGTCAAAGACAACTCAATGTGGAGCTGGAGGAACATTAAGACTATGAATGCTGCAATTGATTGACAACATTATGAGAAGAGAAGCAATGAGAATGTTGAATTAGTTTTTTCTATTCATTCTTTAACAGGTTGTAAGCTAATCAGTTCTTTTTCCAGTCTTTAAAGTCTTTATTTCATGTTTCAGGATCATTTCAAAGACTTGTCAGTAGTTCATTGGTTTTCTTCTGGATGCTGGGAGACTGGCTACGGAGGATGTATGTGTAACATGACAGTATGGGAGAGATGAGAGTCATGAAGGGGCATGGAGGAGACATAAGAGACCATGGAAGGGTCTTGGGGATAAGAGGGGATGTGACTGGGGACATGAAGGGAGCATGGTGCACTAGCCGCGGGTTCAGGGGAAGTAGAGGATAAAGGTTTAAGGGATGACCATTATGATTACATCTGGGCCTATTTCCTAGTAAATGGACATAGACCTTTTAAGCCAGCCTCACCATCCATCTGTCTCTGTTGCATCTTTGCACCTGACCCCAGAGATGTTGGGACTGATTCCATTCCATTTTCACTTTCCCAGAATGAAAATGTGGCAGGTGAGGGCCTCTTAATTGGAATTAATTTGCAGAATTCAGACTTCCCTGATTTCCACTTGAGACTCCTTCACAAAAATCTCACCCTAGTTTCTGTTCATCGTAACAATTACAGCCAATGATAGAATTTGGTTAATCTAAATTCATCCTTTATAATGTTTTCTTCTTATATGAGTTTTTAAACATGCAGATATATATCAATTTAGTTGGTTGATTGTTTTAAGTTTTAAAAAAATTATTATTCAGAAAATTCTGAATATTAAAATGAAAATTTACAGCATTCCGTCTATCGATTGTTCTTCACAAGAGTGAATCATGCTTAAGTCAGAAAACAACTACAAACATAAATCAAAGTGAGAAAACTTACTTATGTCAGACACTTTCTCTTCCATATCTTTTCTGTTTCTGAGGTACATTGGCCACACGTGTCCATCAAAATTTCCAGGTGGATCAGGTGGATTATAGACCCTTAAACTAAAATATAAAGATTCTGTTCACAGTTTCACATAGTTTGGCGATAATGACGGGTTTTAAATAATTTAAATCAGTTCTTACCTTCTTCTTCTCTTACATTCTTCATATGGAATGGAGAGATAGTAACGTTGACTAAAAACATCATTTAAGGGCCTAAAAACATATATTGGTATGTATCGGTAATATGTATAAATACACAAAACTCTGTGACTGATTACAGGTTCCACAACATCCATATCTGGACTGGTAAAGGTTTATTGGAACAATATGTTCTGAGTTAATTTGAATGGGAATTGGTGGAAGTTACAAAAACATCCACTCTCCCGCATTCATTTACTTTTGGCCTTAACAGTTGATAAGGGTCAGGAAAACTGAACTTGCACTGCACACTGCTTGTAGCATAACCAGTTAATGCTCCCATGTTTTATGAATAGCCTAGCATGATTTTGAGCAGTCCAATAATTTCCTTACAGCCCCCAGATAATCCACAGGTTCTGAATAATAATTTAATAAAAATATAATACAAATAATTTTACATTACAACCAACTGAATGTTTTAAAGATACAGCAAACATACCTATAATTGTAAAGGAGGAAACCTTCCACTATTAGGATGTTAACTTTGTTCTCTGATAAATCTGGAAGTGTTTGTTCAGGATGTCCAACAGCTATGTTTTCCATCCAGGCATAAACTGAATTCATCATTGCTTCCATATCCAGAGCTGTGATAACTAAAAAATAATTATGCCTATTGAGAAACTACTGCTCTCAAAAGAAACACACTCACTCATGTAACAAAATATTAATGTGACAAGTGTTGGTACACATATATATCTGATTTTTATTTTAGTTTTTTTAAGAGCTCTATTCATTTCCAGTAGAAGCTCACTGATTTGAATTCCAATATTATCATCTTTTGATTTGGAACATAAATGGAGTCAGGAGTTAAATCTATTCTTATTCAGAGAACTAAAGGAATATTACATGCTGGTGCCATTTCAAATCTGTGAGATGGCAGAAAGGAAATCAAAAATGGGTTGGAGAGACTGAAGGAGGGAAGAAACTGCAAGTATTCTCGTAGAATATTTACAGGCGGGAGACCGTTTTGATTAAATACCAACCTCCTGCCACGTCCCCATTAGTCTGCACATTGTTTCTATTTAAATAATCATCCACTGTCCTCTTGAATGACTTAATTGAAACTGTCTTCACCACACTTCCAGGCTGTGGACCATTTGCTACATGAAAAAGGTTTTTTCTCAACTCACATTTGCTTCTTTTGCAAAACACTTTAGATGTCTCTCGAGTTCCTTTTTCTATTATTCCACTGTTAATTCTCTCTTCATTTCTGGGAACCAAGTTTCTGATAGCATGGCATCAGCATAGCATTATTCCTAAACTTTCAACAACTCCAAGCTTCAAACTGTCCTGTCTGGTTCGCCACCTTTTCATGTGTTTCTCCCTATTTATTCTGCTTAGGCCCTTCATGATTTTGCAAACTTCTATTAAATCTCCCCTCAGTCTTCTCCATTCCAAGGAAAACAGTCCTAACTTTACCAATTTATCCTCATAACTGAAGTTTTTTATTTCTGGAGCCATTATCGTAAACCTCTTCTGCACTCTCTCCAATGCATTCACATCCTCCCTAAAGAATGGTGGCCAGGACTGTACACAATATTCCATCTGAGGACTAAAAGTTCAGCATAACATCTCTGCTTTTGTAGTCTATGCCCCTACTAATGAAGCCTAGAATATTACACCCTGTTTTCTGTAATACTGAAGCTGTAGTTACCAGTAGATGCCAGTAGAGAGAAAGAAATCAAATTTTCCAATGCTAAGAGAATTCCTTGAGTATGTGCTATCATCTGTTACAGTATATGTTGGTAATTATTCCATGTTCCTACAGTTCTCGTAAGGTTGCATCATGCAGAGCAATTAGACCAGATCAAGTTCAACAAGTTCTCTGTTCCTTTGAAGTGAAAACCTATGACCACTACGTTGTGATAGTTGCACTGAAAATCTGTTGCAGAGATGTTATTTTGGGTCTGTATTTACTGTGGATATGAAGGCTAGGGAACTCTGGGAAATAGATATTGATGTAATGAAAACAGTCCACATTACAGAAGAGGAGAAGAGGAGGTGACGGAGGTCTTGAAAAACATAAAGGTGGACGAACCTTGGGGACCTAATCAAGTGTATCCCAGGATGTTGTGGGAAGCTAGGAAGGAAATCGCAGGGCCCTAGCAGAGATATATGTATCCTTTACTGCCATAGGTGAGGTGCCAGAGGACTGCAGCATGGCTAATGTTGTACCTTTGCTTAAGAAAGGCTTTAAAGAAAAACCTATGAACTGTAGACTGGTGAGTCTAACATCAGTGGTGGTTAAGTTTTGGAGGGGATTCTGAGATAATTTACATGCATTGGGAGAGACAAGGACTGATTAGGGATAGTTGGCATGGCTTTGTGCATGGGAAAACGTGTCTCACAAGTTTGATTGAGTTTTTTGAGGACATGACCAAAAAGATAGATGAGGGCAGAACAGTAGACATTGTCTACATGGACTTTAGTAAAGCCTTTGACAAGGTTCCCCGTGGTACACTGGTTAGTCAAGTTGGATCACATGCGATTCAGGGAGAGACCATCAATTGGATACAAAATTGGCTTGATGATAGGAGACAGAGAGTGGTGGTGGAGGGTTGTTTTTCAGACTGGAGGCCTGTGAACAGCAGTGTTCCACAGGGATCGGTGTTGGGTCCACTGTTGTTTGTCATTTATATAAAAAAATTTGGATGAGAATTTAGAAGGCATGGTTAGTAAGTTTGCGGATGACACCAAAATTGATAGTACAATGGACAGTGAAGAAAGTTATTTAAGATTACAAAGGGATCTAGATAAATTGGGCCAATTGGTTGAGGAATGGCAGATAGAGTTTAATTTGGATAAATGCAAGGTATTGCATTACACAGTTAACGGTGGGAGCCTAGGCAGTGCTGTCGAACAGACAGACCTGAGGGTTCAAGTACATAGTTCTTTGAAAGCTGTGTCACAGGTGGACAAGGTGTTTAAGAAGGCATTTAGCACGTTTGCCTTCATTGCTCAGACCACTGAGTATAGGAGTGGGGACGACATGTTGAGGTTGTACAGGCCATTGGTGAGGCCACTTTTGGAGTACTATGGAGAGTTCGGGTCGTCTTTCTATAGGAAGGACAAAACTAAATTGTGGAGGATTCAGAAAAGATTTACAAGGATGTTGCCGGGACTGGAGAGTTTGAGTTATAAGGAGAGGCTAGATAGATTGGGACTTTTTTCACTGGAGCGTAGGAGTTTCAGGGGTGACATTATAGAGGTATTTTCCTGAGGGTGGGGGAGTTCAAAACTATATTTTTAAGATGAGAGGCAAAAGATTTAAAACAGACATCAGGGGCAACTTCTTCACACAGAGGGTGGTTTGTATGCGGAATGAACTGCCAGAGGAAGTGGTAGATGCAAGTACAGTGTCAACATTTAAAAGACATTCAGACAGGTAAATGAATAGGAAAAGTTTAGAGGGATATGGGCCAAATGCAGGCAAGTGGGACTAGTTTAGTTCAGGAAACTTGGTCGGCATGGATGAATTGGGCTGAAGGGTCTGTTTCTGTGCTGTATGACTTTATGACTGTCTGACAAATCTTACCGTCATACTGCTGAAACCCATCTTCTCCAATCTCTACCTCACTGGCAGGCTGGAAAAAATAAATATAAAAGTTTAGTCCAAAATGCAATTCCTCATCCATAGTTTTAGAAATTAGTCTCAACTTTTGGCCCATACAAGATTTGAAGCTTGGAGCTATTGAAAATTTACGAATAGTGGTTTGCTGATTCCATGCTTTCAGAAGTTCAACTCCCAGAAACGAAGAGAGAATTACCAGCGGATTAACAGGAAAAGGATTTAAGAGAAGTTTATTACAATGAACAAAGAAGATGAGACACTTTCAAAACAAAGTTATGAAAGGTGGCAGGCCTGTAAGAACAGTGTGTGCAATAACCATTAGCCACAATGGCTCATGGAGACTTAGCTAGGCAATATGCTCTACAAGAGACCTTTCAGTGGGCAAAAAGGTGTAAACAAAAAGGCAGAATAAAATTAATTAAAATAGGATCATAATTCAACTTAATAAAAGATAAGGAGAAAGCACTTTGCTAATTTTAGGAATTTACAGAAAATAAAGGATACTTAAAACATTACACAGCCAGAACAGTAGATGGTGCCACCAGCTTAAAAGTAAATTTAACAGATATTGTGACCCTATTAATTCTTTGGACATGATCCTACAGGTTAAGTTAGCATTGCATCTGCAGATGTTCTGTGGTGGTGGCCCCAGTGGAGTTTGAAGGATCAGTGGGAGAGTAACTATCTGCATTTAAAACAATGCTACATTCCAAATGAAATCTTAACTACAAACACAGCGCATCATGAATATGTCTTCATCTATTGACACCATATGCTGCTCTACAATTCCAAAACACATGGCCCAGGAAAAAATTCAGCACTCTGCTTCGCTAATAGGGACCCGGAGGTCTGTGTAGCTGGGGTGGTGAAGAAGAGGGCCATCTTCTTTCTTCAGGATGGATAAAGGCGACCATAGCATGGACACTACCAGCCTGGGTGAATGTGATGCCTCCATGGTTTGGAGGAACAAAGAACAATGCTGCAAGAAGGTTAATGAATTTCTGCGCTCTGCTAGGGTAAGTGCCACCATGTTGTCCTTGCTACCTCACACCATGAAATCCACAGAATCCCTACAGTATGAAAACAGGCCGTTCAGCCCAACAGGTCCACATCAACCCTCCAGAGAGCATCCCATTCTATCTGTGTAATCCTGCATTTCCCATGGTTAACCCACCTCCAACCCTAAACACTATGGGCAATTTAGCATGGCCAATCCACCTAACTTGCATGTCTTTGGACTGTAGGAGGAAACCGGAGCACCCGGCGGAAAACCACGCAGACACGGGGAGAAAATGCAAACTCCACATAGATAGTTGCCCAAGAGTGGAAATGAAGCCGGGTTCCTGGTGCTGTGAGGCAGCAGTGCTAACCACTGAGCCAGTCTAACTCTGCCACTGCACACACCTCCCACCAAGACTCGTGGTCTACCACTCTCACTATTGCATGCACCACGTTTCCTCAAAAGCTCTTGCCCAGCTCAACCTCCTAAATACTAAGTCTTCCTGCCCTCAGCACTTTCCAGTCACTCTCTTGGGACACCACACTACCTTTGTGGCACTTGTAACATTAACAGCTCTTCCAGCTACCTTCATTTCACTCAATCTCTCCCTTGTTTCATTGCAGGAGAAAACAGCCCATAATAGGGCTGAAAGGGCCAAGATGGGTAGTAAACCTTCAACGTCTCATCCCATAAGAGAAACAATTGCTTGAATTCGTGAGAGAGGACCATGACTGCTCAGGTGGGAATGCTGAGATCTCCATTTCCCGGCAGCCGATTAAGCTTCATTGTGCTGTGCTGTGCTACTCTCCTATTACCAACAATATGAATATGCTTCACCAATTCAGATACTTCCACCTCTGTAGGGATTTTATCTAAATTAGACTCTGGAGAATATTTTGGTTTGTCTGGCGTGTCCACACAGCTGGTCAAGGAAGAAATGCTACAGGTCTCTGATACTCAGAGGAGCTACAGATAACAGGCACCTGATCAGCCCTATGCTGAAGATGACCCCATAATGTCAGCCATTAATACCTTTGTGCAAAAGGATAAACAAATATAGAAGCAACAGGTAGGTTTGTCGGAGACCCTCAGAAAACAGGATTAAAAGATTGAAGGACTCTACTAATGTTATCAGTACCATGCTAGCCTTAGTGTGTCAAAGGTTAGTGGTAAGCCAGAGGTTTGGAAATGTTTTAAAACCAACAAATGTTGACTGAAAAGAAGGGAGATGTTAAACTTTGAGGGTAAACTTGCAAGTAATGTCAAGACATACAGCCAGAGTTTCTTTAAATATATAAAAAGAGAAAAGTCAAAGTGAACATAGGCCCCTTAGGAAACTCGGCTAGAATCATCACAGAATCCCGAGAGTGCAGGCAGAGGCCATTTGGGCCATCGTCTGCACCGACCCTCTGAAGAGCATCCCACACCCCCCATTCTATCTCCATAGATCTATCATAGCTTAACCCGCTTAGCCTGCACAACCTTGGACACTACAGATAATTTAGCGTGGTCAATTCATCTAACCTTCATATCGTGATGATACTATTGCTGTAAGAGATTATTTTGTCCTGGTTTTTTTTTTGAAGAGAGGTTTTAAGGCATAGGTGCCAAGCAGTCCACCACCTTCTGAGGCCTTGGATTTTTTTTAAGTTGGATCAATAGAAGCAGCCTGAATGGGTGTGGTAAAGCTCTCACAGAACCAGGATTTTCAGTTTAGTTTTTTGTTTTAGCTTCCAGCAGTTTTGCTGGGGCCTCAGCAGGGTTGGAGTAAATCTCTCCCAGCTGCTACACTCTCTTAAAATTTTCTCTTGATGCTTTTTCCCTCTTGGGCTGCTCAAGTTGCATGTGAGACAATCTGTTTTCTAATTTTGCCTATTGCCAAGGGTGTGTTTATGGGATGCTACTATATTGGAACAGTTAATTAGTCATAGTTATTGTATTTATTATTCTGTCAATTTTCCAACAGAGTTGTTATTCCAATTCGTTTTTTCTTTTATTATATTTTAACCATAGTGGATGAATAAAGTGTGTTTTCCTTTAAATCCAGTAGTTTGACCAATCAAATTGTATCTGGAATGCAACATCTTACATTTACCTTTAAAATAAGAAAACACTAGGGTCTAGACAATCTTCTGAATATTCTAATGCGGTTTGTTCTGGTCCATAACAACATCTTTGGACTGTGGGAGGAAACCAAAGCACCGGATGAAACCTGCACAGACATGGGTAGAATGTGCAGTTACCCAAGGCTGGAACTGAACCAGTTCCCTGACGTTGTCAGGCAGTATGCTAACCACTGAGCCACCATGTTGCCATAGAGAAATAATAACAGGGAACCGGGAAATGGCAGAGGAGTCGAATAAATACTATGTATCAGTCTTCACAGTAGAAGAGACTAATGGCATTCCAAGATTACTAAATACCTAAGGGGTAAAAGGAGGAGAGGAAATAAATCAAATAACAATTACAGGAGAAAAAATGCTCTGGAAACTAATAAAGACCACTAAGTCCACTGGACCTGATGGCATGCAACCTAAGATATTAAATTAAAGTAAGTGGCTACAGAAATAGTTGATGCACTGGTAAGAATCTTCCAAGACTCCTTAGTTTCTGGAAAAGTGCCAGAGTATTGGAAAACTATTAATGTAACATCTTATATAAAAGTGAAGGAGACAAATAAAAGGCAAATATAAGCCAGTTAGCTTAACATTTGTTAGTGAGAGAATGTTACAGTCGATCGTAAAGGATGTAATAACAGAGTGTTTGGAAATGAATAATATGATCAAACTGCGTCAGCATGGTTTCATGAAAGGGAAATCATGCCTGACAAATTTACTAGAATTCTTCAAGGAGATAACAAGTAGAGGAAGCAGTCATCCAATCATTGTGCCCCAATCATCCAATCCCTCCATTTGAGTTCCCTGCTGCCCTAACACAGCGATGCCACAGATAACACCCTCCCTCTTAAAGTTTACTGCCCAATCTCCCAGGACTGATTCTGGCTTACTCCTGAACCAAATCTGGAGGACAGCCCCAACTGAGGACAACTGAGCCCCCTGACTGGTGTCTATGCCACTTCTCAACTATTTATTGATAGTTCCCACATTGGTTGGATTTGTCCTGCAGGACTGACTGTAGCCCAAGTCCCTGGACTGGCAGGGCACAGATTC